CTGAATGCTCCTTATTGTTAAGTTTTAGTTGCTTAAGTTTGTCATTTGTTTTTACTATACTAGGACCTATTTCTTATGGTCATTGTTACTAACTTTTTTTAAAGTTTTCTCATGTATCGAAAAAAGCAGAATGATTGGAAGTTGAAACATAGAAATTAACATGATTTTTTCTTTCCACAAGAATATAAATGCTTTGCATATGCTTCACTTCAATTAGCACTTCAATATTGTGCAAGAAAAATTAGATATTGATATTGATAATTAACATTGTCCCTAGAAGCAATTCAATTCAAACGATGCAGATTTTGTTACTATCAACATAAAAAATCAAAATCATATTTATATTTGAACATGCCAGTCTTATGCTTTTTTTCATGCCACACAACATAATTGGCTAAATTTTTTGTATCATCATTGTTTCATGGCTCAATAATAGATCATTTTATAATTTTGAAATTTTCTTAAGGAGAATTGAAGAAATAAAAAACAAACGCAGATGTATGAGACTAAGAGCTGGCTCTCTATTTTGATTCTACAAGGCTAATAAAATTCTTTTAAAGAGGGAAAATATAATATTTTCATTGTTCCATCCTAATGCTTGTGCCATAGGGCAAGAGTGTCATTACATCTGATGCTTGGATGACCATAAAAGGACACTCAAGATTTTTCATGTGAATCTGATTTATGATTTTGACTAGACAATGGGATGTGAATTATTCTTGTTGTTTATAGAATTTGTATGTTGCTGTTATGTTGACATGACTGATATTATGTTTTGCTGCCTTTAGGAAAACTCAGAGATAAGGGTAAAGAATTAACAAAATATTCTTTTGTGTTGATGACTTATCTTGGGAAAACTCAAATGCTAGTTGACCAAGACACAGATTGGTGCCTTATGATTTTTATAAAATATGAACCTTGAATTGTTATCTGTGATTCTTATCTTTATCTGAATTATGATTTAGAGAATTTGTTTAGTGACTTGACCTGGTGGAGAATTCAGCTAAAAATGGTACAGATTGTACAATCCAAAATACTGGTACTATACTTGTGTCGAGACTGATTGCCATACTAGTATTTAAAGCCATATTTAAGACATATTTTCATCTATTTCCTGTGTGCTCAGTTACTATTCTCTTTTATTTTTACAGCTTTTGAGCTGAATTGCCAGACTAAAGACAAGTTTTGGTGAATGCCCACCACCGTCTGCGCATAGCTGATAAAGCAAGCCCAGAGGTCTGGGCATGGTGGAATTTGACCCGGTTGCTTCTGGAGATTCATTCCCTGGGTTCTATGGCTGATGGGTATAGATTTTACCATGTTTCCCTCGTTAGTGCTTTGCTTGTTTCCATTCACATTGGAAACATCAAGGTAACAGGTTTAAGAAGATCATGGGAGTTTGTTATCGGTTGCTGATGATATACAACTAATGGTGGGTTTTGTTGCTCATTTGCCAGACCATGCTTTATACCATGGCTGTGAAATGGTTGATGATTGAAGACTCCTTGTTAAATTCCATCGATCATTCAACAGGAATTTTCCTTTCTCTTTTTACATATCTTAGTGTTTCTTTCAGTTGCATTTTGATCCACTCATATTGCCTTGCACTCAGAATATGAGGTTTTATTAATCTGACTTAAATACTTGGGTTTAAGGCTTGATGCCAGTGGTTATGGCCATGTTAAACCCTAAACTTAATTTGACCTTTTTAGATGCCAAGTGAGCTAGTTTATAGGTCTTAGCTTTTGTAGATAAAGTTCAACTTAATTGTCTGTCCAAGCACTAAAATTGGTGAGTTGGCTGTTATATTCTGAATGGTTTATTGCATCCATCAATGACATGCATGGAAGTCCTGCCTTCTTTTCCTCAGAAATGCTAGATTCCTGAGAATGTTAATGTCAACAAGCTAAAAGATTTTCTATATACTTTCTTGTCTCTGCAGAGCAATAAGGTAGCAAGAATGTTTTTCCTAATGTGTTTTCTACTTAAGATGCATCCATGTTTGAAATCTGTTTCTAGCTAGAGTTGCCACTCTCTCTTCCAGGATCTGTTACCTTATGCATCAATGTGTGTCAGTGGCAACATCGACCATCTGCCACAGGTATCCAACTTAATCTCTACTTTAATGCTGTCAATACACTAGCCTTTTACTCCCCATTCAACAACTGCTTCAGATTTTGTTATACCTACATTTTTTTTATTGTGATTAGACGTTCAATTTTAGCTTCTGGAGGCTCCAAAAAAAATTATATTATCTTCATTCATTTAACGAGTTATTTCTGATCTAGAAGTCAAAATGGGGTTCACATGTTTATGACTATAGAAGAATGGTACGTGATCTCTTATGTGTGTTTAGGTCGTGTGTATGTTTAACATTGGACGAGTTCAGAATTAGTTCATCTAGCTGACCATATGATTGATATATGTGTGTTTGAGAGAGAGAGAGGTTTGTAGTTATTATCTGACAATTGATTAATAGCACAATGAGATGTTAAAAAAAAAAGATGGAAGTAATAAAAAGTATTTGAGTTTAGTGGACAGATGCTACTGGGAATCATCTAAATATTTGGAAGGGTAAATTTCTGAGTCGGAGA